TATTTGTAACCGGTTCTTGCGAATCTGAAATTGGATATTTTCGTATCCGATTGAATATGTACGACGCTGTGGAAAGTGTAACTTGCGCAAGCAAAAAGGTAATTCCGAAACTAATTAGACAAACAATACTCAACAATTGTTCTAGAGAAATTTTATATGTCACGCGATATTCGTCTTGCGATTCGGAACAGACGCTACTTCGTCTTAACGTAATGACAATTCATTAAATAAAAGAAGGGCTACGAGCCAATTATAATGTAAAATATTTAATAATTTAAAATTCGTACATACAAACTTTTCGACATCGATCGGGTCATTTTCAATGTAAAACAACAAACAATATTACATAAATTATCGGAAAATTCGGTCACATTATAATGTAATATTGTTTGTTGTTTTACATTGAAAATGACCCGATCGGTGTCGAAACGTTTGTATGTACGAATTTTAAATTATTAAATATTTTACATTATAATTGGCTCGTAGCCATTCTTTTATTTAGTGATTTATTCTGATTGAGTAATAACAATTGTTTTTCAGACATTCCGAGTGCAGGACATGATCGTTTTATATGGAAAACATGAGAGCATGTTAAACGAATTGAAATTCCGTTTTCGAGTAAGCGCCTAACTGACGATACAGTATTGAAATATTAAAGAGCGATGTTATATATATTTCTTAATATTTGCGCGTGTAAATGTCTCGCCTTTTAAAAATAATTTTTCTTCAGAATTCAGAAATCTCAGATTTCTACGCGTATTTTCGCGAACCTTGGGCCGCGGTGATTCTCCATGATAGATTCGATTGTCTGCGCGTCGAAAATCGAGCTACTTTGCTGTCGCGAACGGTAAGACGGTCGCTTTGCATTTCAACATCGTATGTCGATATTTATTCCAAGCATATTTTCTCAACATACAGGACATTTATGACAATTCTTTGGTCGACGATTGTATCCATACATTAATCAAGTCAAAGTGGAAAACGGTGAGTAATTTTATCTATGAGTTTATGAAGACGTCGCAATAAATGTATGATCCTTCCGAGAGTAAGGACCAAGCATCGATCAATGATAACGACGTGAATGAAAAAGCTCGAAGTTTTTTGCGCAGATATCTGAAAAGGATCGAAATTACATCGAATCTAGATACGCTGGCTCGGTTTATCATCAAGAATTAGAGAGTAATCTCATGAATTTTCTCGAGTTTTACGAGAATGAACTACCTATGTATTGTACTTTGCGTAAACAGCGCCAAATGTATATGGACATTAAAGAAAGTCCGTTATATTTCGATCAATAAAACATTTTTTGCAAATTCTCTTGATGAAGGTACGCGTATGTAGAGTAAGAGAAAAAGAGTATTAGAAAGAATTAATATTTAATTATTTATAATTATCCCTCTCTCTCTCTCTCTCTCTCTCTCTCTAGTACGTATGAAAATAGTGACGAAAAAAATGAAAAGTGTGTCTTAGACTTGTTGTACAATTTAAAATTGCTCACAGCGAGAAGTTTCTTTGCGTCAACGCTAACTGTAAAATAAGTAGATATAAAAATTTTTATATAATTAGTGATGCCAAAGTAAAGCAAATTTCTCGATCTTATTGAGCTACGGTTACTACACATACGCTACGGAGATTGCGTGTAAATCGACGCGATCGCGTCACAGCAAACATTTCTGAATTAAGATCAAAACCCCGCGTTGAATATATAGGTTCTAATATGGTCCTACTATAGCTCTTACTCACTCCAACGCGCTTGATAGAGTGAGTAGGAGCTATGGTAGGAGCATGTTGGAGCATGTTGGATCTTGCGACGCGAACAAACCTTATGTATACAGTTGTGCTCGATAAACGACTTCGTCGACGTTTATCTATTTTTGGTACGCAATTCTATTCGTGTAGGTCAAGTTTAATGTTTTACCAAGTCGTTTCATAACGGTGCGACTCGCATCAATGCGATTCGCAATATCGCATTGCCTGACGTCTGAATTACAGTCATGAGATATTCAGAAAAAAGTTGCGGATCATGACAGAATTCCTTAGGTGGCCTCAAAAGCTGATAGCATTTTAGTAAATTCAGTTTCGTATTTGCATCTTGTATTTTTGTATTTTCTTCTATCGAATAAATTTAAATGCTACATTACGAAATCATGTCTGGAGACACGATACCCTATAAGCACAAAATGTTCCTAGAATGTTACATGAATATTATTAAAAAAAATTAAAATAATGTTATTATAATATTTCGAAAATATCATAAATATTTTTTTAATATTACAGGAGTATTCTATAGAGGTTATATGTCCACTTATATAATAAACCTAGGTATTATATTTTAATATTCCTGAAACATTATTAAAATATTAATAAAT